TTATTTAAAACTTGATCGTTCAAATAATATCTAATAATTATCATTTCTCATGATAAGAATTAAAAAGTATTATCATTTGATATACTCTCTATTTTTGTATGTGTGTATGTATTCAATAGCAACAGTAAAATTAGAACACAAAATAATATCTAATAATTTATAATAATTATCATTTCTCATGATAAAAATTAAAAAAGTACTCTTATTTGATACATTCTCTTTTGTTGTATGTGTGTATGTATTCAATAGCAACAACAAAATTATAACGCAAAATCTTATGCATATTATCTAAACTTCTATCAATGACATCATTATTCATTTTAAAGAAGTAATTACATTTTACTGACTATTTTTTTTTTTTATTTTTATACTTAAAAACAAAATAAAATAAATAATAGTTTATATTCATGATAATTTTATTTTTAAAAAGTATTTATTTAAAGTATAATTTCTACATGTAAAATGTTTATCTCTCTTTACACGAGACTTTGCATATTTTGAAAAAAAAAAAAGAAGAAAAATAATATAAAGTTTAATATTACGCATAACATTATATGTTTTGTGATTAATTTAATTTTATAGATAATTATAAAAATATTTTATATAATGATTTGATTTTTTATAACAAAATATCAAATAATTTTTAAATTTTTTGAAAATTTACAAACTTGGTATTTACATTTGGAATTTTTAATTTAACGATTGGATTGTTGAAACTTGATGTTGAACATAAATTATTGAGTAAAGTAAGTTTAAGTAAGTTTATTTTTAGAGTAAGTGAATTCCTCTCTATATATAAAGAGAGAAAGAAGAGAGATCAAATAACTTCAAGAATAACTCTTAATAAGTTATTTCCCTCAATAACTAATGAGTATGTTGAACTTTAATGATATAATTGTTAAATTAAAAGTTATTAATGCTTAGATCAAATCTACAAATTTTTAAAAGCTTTGAAAATTATTTGATATTCTATTTTATTAATTCAAAGTAACGAATAATCATAAAAAACATTTTATTATATGTTAATTTAAATCTAAATAATGAAGTATCATGTGATTTTCAAAATTTTTAAAAGTTTGTAGTCTCGATGTATATATATTAAGAACTTTTAATTTAATGGTTGAATTATTGAAAATTAATACACACTATGAGTTATTGAGTATAATAACTTTTCTAAGAATTATTCTGTCATTTGATCATTCCTCATATATATATATATATATATATATATAGAGATCTATTTATTCAAAGAGTAAGTTTTTATAAACATATTTAACTCAATAATTCATATTTTACATCAATTTCAATGGTCTAATCATTGAATTACAAATTTTTAATATATAATCAAGTTTGCAAATTTTTTAAAAATTTAAAAATTATTTAATATTTTGTTTCATCCATTCAAATAAAAAATAATATATATATATATATATGAAGATTTTATATAAAGTAGTGTATATATATCGGAATAATCTTCATCACATATTGTGTTTAGAATATTTTGCAACATAATTAATATTAAATTAAATCTCAAAAAGTATTTTTAAAAATAATTTCAAGTATAATTTACAATATTTTATAAAACTTGCACGTATTCAAAAATAATTATTTTTTTAATATAGTTACTTATTTCTAATGGGACATTTATTTGTTTTGTAAATATATTTTTTTTCATTATTTTCAAATTTTGAAAAAAGCCATGGTCACTAATATTAAGTTAGTATAATATTTTTTTAATTCATTCTATTTGAATAATTTCATTTATCAAAATTCAAATAAAAAATGTAAAAATGAATTTTTATCTTGATTATTTTTCAAATAAGTTGCAAGTAAAAGAAAATAAATAAATAAATTTCATATTTATACAATATAACCAAATCTAAAAGAATCATTTTCTAGAAGAATTAAAAGAAAATGTTTTATTTTATCCATATCATTGTTACCAAAATATTTTTTTTTGTATTCATGATTTCAAATTATAATCTACAATAATATCTATTTATATTATATATATATACAATTTTTTTTAATAATTGTATAATCTTAATAATAATTTAATTATAGATGTAACTTAATAATTTAAATTAAATATATTTTTTTAGAAAAAACATAAAAAGTTAGAACTTTGGAGGGGTCTAACCTTGTTGGCCTTGCCTTAGTCACATCTCTACATAGTTAACAAATTAGTTTTATAAGATTAATTTAAATACAAATTTATATTTTAATATGGTATCAAAATTTATTTATATAATTATTGTTGGACCTATCGATGCATCACCTATTATTGAATTATTATAAATGAGTTACAACCTTCATTTTATAATGAGTATGTGTAATACGTGGATGATAATTGATAAACGTGCTTAGACCTTATTTGTAACTGTTGGGATGTAAGCAAAGTTTCACATCATTCAAACTAGATGATCATAAGTTTATATTCACACAATTGTCTTCATTGGTTAAAAGGTCTTTTTAGGTGATATCTAAAAGCAAAACTGTGAGGACTTAGACTCAAAGTGGACAATATCTTACCAATGTGGATACATGTATATGTATGTGGTAGCCCCTGAATCATAACAAGTGGTATTAGAGCCAATGGTTGATCAGGTGACCAGCTAACGAGTATGATGGAGTTGGTAGGTGGATCTGGGTATAGGATCTCTTATATCGAAAGTCTTCCTAAGAATGAGTTCATATATGAAGGAGTGTCATCCTGATAACATGGAGAGTTAGGAGGCGTACGTGTCCCGTTCACGATGGAATGGCGGTGCAAGTACTTAGAGCATGAATGAGCTCTATGGACCACCATCAGATATACTCATGAACTGATAGCTTTCGCTAAAAAAAAGGAGTAAAACCATGGTCTTTTATTTGAGGGAAAGATTGTTGGGATGCAACATGAGTTTATATACATACAATATATGGTCTCCATTGGTTAAGAGGCCTTTTGGATGATATCCAAAAATAAAACTGCGAGGACTTAGACCTGATATGTGTATGTATGTGGTAGCCCCGGGTCATAACAGGAACAAATGTGATACGGAATGATAAGTAAAAGATATATTTGGATATAAATTAGAAGTGCTTTTATAAGTTTCTTTATTAAAATTAAGGAATTTTTTTCTGGTAAAATAATTCTCAAAAGTACTTTTAAAGAATTTTTTCTGGTAAAATAATTTTTTTATAAGTTTATTAAAATTTTCTTTTAATAGTTATGTTGTTAAACTTTGATATAAAACATGAATTATTCAGTAAAATAAGTTTATTAAGACTTACTCTTAAAATAAGTAGATCTCTCCTTATATATGTATATATATATATATCACAAAGAAAAGATAAAAAAAAAAAAAAAATCCCAATGCAAGAGGAAAACAAGTAAGTCCAAGTAATATTTTTCAAAGATACACTATAAGAAAATTGTCACATAGTGACACACACTTTATAGTAACACAAAAAGTACTTCTATTTATACAATAAATATAATATATGTTAATATGTTTTTAAAAATTGTGAATATATATTATAGTGACACACAAAATATGTTGATAAATCTCATTCAAAATCAATATTAAAATTATATATAATTATTTATTAAATAAATATATACTTATATATATTGTATATATAGTAACACTTTTTTTTTTGTAACATTTCTTATAGTGATATATATATAAATAAATATTGTACGTATTTCTCGATTTACCCTAACCACTAGAGAACAAAATGTAGTGTACTTCCACTTTTTCTAGCTTTTGATTAATTAAAATGCACTGTATGACTCGCAAAAAGCTACTTATGGGCGTGGAGAGTTTGACTTTGTGGTCTTTATTGGAATGCAATATCTCATTTAGTACTTATTAATTATTAATTACTAGTTTTTAGCTAGGCACATTGTTACACGTTAGTCCAACCAGCAAGGTGCTAATTATATGTTGCATGCTTTCTAAGGCAACCAATTGCGTGTTAGACACTTGGTGAGTAGTCGTTGGCCATGGCAAAAAGCACCTTGCTCCTTGTTTTGTATCCATGTAGGGAAGACTAAGTGACGCTTTCACGATTTAATTAGATAGCCCTAGTCCTTATTTCAAAAAAAAATAATATTTTATGTGCTCTTCATATATAGGTTGCGACTTTTCAACATACAAATCATTTTGGTTGGTTGATGCTTCTGGATTTTCGTCCTTCATTTCCTGTGACTGTAGCTTCAATGCAGCATTTGAATAGAAAGAAGAAAACAAGAAGTACGAAACACCCTTTTTTTTTTTTTTTTTTTTTTTCTGTGAGGATTGAGGGATTACTAGCTACAAACCTCCTCCATGTTTAGAAATAGGATTTATTAACGTAGCTTTATTTATTTTTTCTTTTATCGCATTTTAACCTTTTTGTTATATGTATTTCTTCATTTTCTATCTCATCATGTATTATATTTGTTAGTTTCTCGTCCCCCATCTTCCTATTCTTTCTATTCATTCACTCCAAAAATAGGCTATACAAAAAAATAAAAACATTTTTCCTAAGAATATGACATGGTACGGTATAACTGAACAACATAAAGTAAACTACTCCACTGTTTTGTTCTTTCTTCATTTTGTTTTTGAGGAGTGGGAGAAGACAGAAGGTGGTTTTCAGTTATATGTTAACACACGACCTAATTAAATATAATAATAGTTGTGGTAGAATTTGTGGTCCCAACTCTTAAACCCTAACTTAAACACCGGCCCAGTGAATATACTAATTAATTAATTGATACATGTTTATATATTCACTATGAAGAAACCCTAGAAAAGTCACTTTGTGTTATAGTGTGTTTGGCGACGGCAATGCTGACTTCAAACAAGATTAGTACAAAAATAATTAACCAGAATCTAAACAAAGATCAAATCAAACTTAAACACAGATCTTACAGGTTATATAGTACACAAATGTTGGAAAATTCATGGAAATTAGTTGGGAACTCGTCATCAACAAAAAATAAAGTTTAGCAAGTTCCAAGTATGAAACTCAGATCAAACTGATGATTTTACTAAACCCCCAGTTTTCTGGCTTTGAAAGATGAGTATTCTTGAATCAAGGACACTCTTACATGCATGCTAGAAGAATTTATCATAAATTAGTTACCATAAATTAAGAGATGAAGAGAGCAGGGAAAGTTTTAACTTGTTATTTGATTTTATGAGAGTTTCAAGAACAGATTTCTGAACAAACCATGCCCAAGATTTATTGATTCCCAAAATAGATTAGCCAAAAGCTCATGCAAAGACCTGCAGAATGCACATAAAAAGAAAAGCAAAACAAGTAATCTTGTTCTAGGCTAAATTAAATCCAATTAAGACAATAAAACTATTACATAATTCTCAAGGAAACCTTAATTAGACCTCAATTAATTACTACTTCACAGTTGAATAAACTTCTCCATAAACACATCAAACTTCTCCATAAACACTTTTAGGGCAGAAAATTAAGAAGAAAAAATAAAATAAACTTTTCCATAATTTAAAAAATTAATTTCGTCTTATGTATGAACTAGTTTAAACTAATAAGAAAATTTATTCTAATTTCTCTTCCTATTTCTTTAAAGTGCTTTTGAAGAAGTTTATTCTACTGAACTCATGATTTGGTCACGACCTATCGCGTAATTTATGTAGTTCATCCTTCTCTTGAGGGCTATTCCCTCTTTCTTGATGATGGATCTCTACCTCTCTATATCTATGCAAGTACCTTCTCATTGGTTCCACATAGTCATCAAAGCCTAATGTTGCCAAGGCCCAGCAAATGTCATCACCATTCACAGTCTTTCTCCTCTCCTTCCTGCACTTGTCCGAAGCTTCGCTGGTCACGAAGCTTATGAACTCCGACACACATTCTTGCATCGTCTCCTTCGCTTCCTTCGAGATTTTAGCGTTCTGAGGCAGAATCTGCTTCATTAGCCGACCAACATTGGCTATTGGCAGCAACCGGTCTTGTTCCTTGATGCCATTGTCGTTAGAGGAACTACCTCCAATGCTATCATCCATTTTTTTCTATACCTATTAGAAACTGTTTTGACTATAATCGAGGACCAAATCGAATCCCGCAGTATATATAGATAAATATACATATATACATGTGTTGGGCAAACAAGTTGTGACATTGATATATAACTATAGAATAACAACTTGTTTTAATGTAAGTTTTTTTTTTTAGGTTCGTTCCTGGATTATCCACCGCTGACAACAGTGACTAATCTCCTCGCTACGTTGGAGGTACCTCAAAGGGTGGGATAACTGGCCCCAAGATTTAACGCGGCTGCATATACAAGGCAGGATTCGAACCTCTGACCTTGTTTTAAAAGTTTTTCTATATAATTTTTTTTGAAAACTCTTCTAAATATATATCCAAATAAGCTCTAAGTGATGTTCTTAATTAAGTAAAGTCTCGGGTCTGAGAAAAAAATATTATTTGAATAAAAAGTTCTATTAAAATTGATTGATCAAATTTTATAATAAAAATTAGACATCGAGAAAATTATTTTATACTTTATGTTAATAACATAATTATAAATAAATAAATAAATAAAAGAAGGAAAAAATTCGTTGTGACATGAAAGTTGAAGTTGTGTGACTTGTACTGTCTTCTCAATTGTTTAATGTTACATGTGAAAATGAAAATGGATGCTTTTATATAGGAAAATAAAAGGGGTTAAATTTTAAGATAATAACTATCAAAATTGTTTTTTTAATGGAATCCATATAAAAAAATATGAAGAAAGTGCTTGTAGCTTTCATCTTCTATGTTTTATATTCCCGATTTCTGTTGGAAAACAAAGACACTTATAATAATAATAATTGTCTATTTATAGGCATCATAAGGGTGCCAGAACGGCCCATTCCAAAATTGGAACGACCCGTTCTGGATCTGGCCGTTATGTGTTAATTTCGTATATTGGAACGACCCGTTCTGAAATCGGAACGGCCCGTTCCTGAGGTAATCCATTCTTCATTTTATATAATATTTATAAGACTCAATTACTTAATTTATTAAGATTAAGAAAAATTAGTTAATTTAATTGACAATAATAAAGTTTTTATTTTTTTTTATTTTTATTTCCTAAAATTATATTTATTTTACTTCTCTTTCTTAATTCAATATTCATATATCTTATAATCAATTAGAGCACATGTCCTTCTATTATAAGAAAAAAAAAAACTATTTGTACATATATTTAAAAAAAATAGTTATTTGTATTAAATTTTACTACTACAATAAAATTCTTTCTAAATCTTCCTTGTTATAAATGCAAAAAAAAAAAGAAGAAAAGTAATATATCAGAAAAATCATGTATTAAAAGAGATATTTTAGAGAAAACTAATAAGATGAAAGACACAAAGTGTCTTCCGAGAAAATAAGTTTTTTAACAATTAATGAGCAATTTTTTTTAGTTATGTATAATTCTTTTATGATAATTATCTAAATGACAAAACTGAAAAATAAATTGTGGACACCAAAATATGGAATACTTTTTATTATTAGTAATAGATATCATTAAATGGGATAAAAGTAGTTAACTTTGCTTATATTTAACAATAAAAATATCTGTATTTTTTTTTTCTGTTTATAATAGAGATTAAAGGGAGAACTATTTTTCTATCCTTATTAATACTCTTTTTTTTCCCAACCAATTAAAGTATATACTCTTTAAAAAATTTATAATTAATGCATTTTACCAAATTAAAAGAACACACTTGTCGCAACCCAAAAATTTCTGATCTTGCGACCTATGGTTTAGACATCTTTTTAAAGATCTCATCAATTAAGGAATGCCCGAACACCAGACTAATCCTTAATTAAGAGTTTTGAAAATAGGTTCTTGGAGTCGCCACCAATGTTTTACTCAAAACATTGAAAAAAGAAAAGGTTTTTAAAAATTCAATAATGGCTTTGATAACCAGAATTGAGTTTGGGGGTCGGTTACGTGTAGGAAAGGTATTAAGCACCCCTACAACGCCCTTAAGCGGTACCCTATGATGAAATTAATGTGATAAGAAATAATAAATTAAATATTAGATCCCTTTATGAATTACTATTTATATGTTTGAAATTTAAATTACCCGATTGACCTTAAAACGTCTACATGATTGCTTTTGTTATAACAATGTATATTAAAAATAAGAAATAAAAGAGAGAGAAAAAGATTAAATGAAACACCTCGTGATAAGCTTTGTTAGATCTTCAGATATGGAAAATCTAGGTGCTTCGTGACAACCTTTTACACTACAATTGCCTCACAATACTCAAGAAATACAATAAGAGAGAAAGAGAAATTTCGAGCTCTAAAGAGTCCTGGAAGAAATTGTTTGGGGCCTTGAGAACTGTGCCCGAGCTGTCTATTTATAGGCATCATAAGGGTGCCAGAACGGCCCATTCCAAAATTGGAACGACCCGTTCTGGATCTGGCCGTTATGTGTTAATTTCGTATATTGGAACGACCCGTTCTGAAATCGGAACGGCCCGTTCCTGAGGTGCGTTTAACACATAATTGCTATGCTGGAACAACTCGTTCCAAATTAAGATTATAATAATAATAATAATAATAATAATTATTATTATTATTTTAATGATTATGAGATATTAATATCGAACAATTTATATGTTCATACTATAAAAGGCATTATGTATAATTGTTTCCAATAAATTAATCCATTTTCATAATTTTAAAAGCTAATATTTTATTAAAAAATTAAATATATTTTTAATTATTCTTCATAAAATAAATAAGTAAATTTTAATTTTTATAAAAAAAATAATTTATTTTTCATCTTTTTAAAATTTATAAATATTACTTATGATCTTTGGACAATGATGAACTTTTGATTTTATTTTCCTGTAAAATATTTGATTTTACTTTCATTATTTAAAATTTAAAATCATTATTTTTAGTTCTTAATTAATGATAATTTTAAGATAAATAAATAATATTTATTTTTAAAATACAAAAAATAAAAATAAAAAAGACATATACTAACTAACATATTATCACTAACAATTCTTGATAATACTTGAATGGTCACTTAACTTTCTAAGAAAAGTAGTTCCAAATTTTAGAAACAGAGAAAATAATTTTTTCAAAAATTATAAAATTAAAACTTGCCCACTTTAAACGGAGTAAAACATATTTAAATATAAAAAAGTTATAATACATGATTAATCATCATCTATAAAGCCACATATTAAATAATATTTAGCGATGCGAAGCCGGTGATTCCGTTAGTGGGGTTTGATGCTGCTGCTCCCATTCCAATTGAGTACACTGCACAGTCCTTTTGCTTTGCAAATTTTAAACCAAGTCCAACCCAAGAATCTTTCATTTCATTGGCTTGCAAGTACTGTTACTCATGGATGCTCAGAATGCCTTTTGGGACTGTTGGAGATAGTGAAAATAAATAAGAATTAAGAATTAGCCCTTCGAAAGGGCCAATATACAAGTCATTAGATGAGGGTTGGTATCAAATATAAAAAATATTATAAACGAACAATCCCACCAAAGTGAATCACCAATGAGATTATACTAACGTGGTTTAATAAATGATTAGGAGTTTTTAGTGTGAGGGTTATATTATTGCACTTTGTCTACAAGGAGGATTAAATCTAACTCAACCGAAAAGGAAAGATTGAAATGGAAAATAAATAAATAAAGCAAAAGTGGAGGAACCGAGGAAGTTGAAAAAAATATTTCTGGGATAGAGTATAGAGATTAGGGAATGCTCCGGTGCCCTCTTATTTGAGGGGGTTTTGGTGCCCCTCAGTACAAAAGTTGAGTTTTTAGGGACAATAAGGTAAATTGATAAATTGATCAGTTTACCTTATTACCCCTAAAAACCCAACTTTTGTACTGAGGGGCACCAAAACCCCTTCAAATAAGAGGGCACCGGAGCAATAGCCAGAGATTAGATGCATGCGTGTTTTTGATGAAGTTAACGTCATTCCATACGACAGCAAAGTAATTTAGCATTAAGTGTCAATGATCGCGTGGGAGCTGTACATGTGATCGATGAGGTCCTAGGTTGTTTGTTGGGAGTTTTGCACCTACTAACTCATTATAATTTGTCCCTCGAAAACAAAAGTGGCAGACATCACAACCACATTTGGTCCAGTTAAAAAGAGAATTTATACATTAAACAGATTAATAAACATGGAAAAAATATTTTCTTAAAATCAATTAAATTCACTAAGCAAAATTCTTTCGCTAAGCTACCCAAAAGAGACCCAATATAGAAGTAGTGTAATCAAAGAAGTAGTGCAACCGAAACAAACAGAAAAATATTATTAAATGAGATAAAAATTTATTTATATTTAAGAATAAAAATTTGTGTTTTTTATTTTTCGTTTATAGTAGAGAACATGAAGTAAGTTTTAACATTCAATACTTGAGTGATATAACATTTAATAACATGATATTTAAAAATAAAAATAAAAAATATGTAAATAATTTTTTATTGATAAAATTATATTAATTACTCATAAAAATAGATATAAATAAAAAATATTTTGAGTCATTTTTTAATTTTTAATTTTATATTTTTATTTTTATATGTCACATCACTAAATGTTATATTATTTAAGGAGTGATAAATCATCAAACAACATAAAAATTTATAAAATAATCAATATTAAATTAATATAAACTGAAATTTTGTATTTTTAAAAATAGAAAGAAATACTAAATATTTATATTTTAAAATAAAATGAGAAAAAGTGCAATATATATATATATATACCAGATGTCCCGAGACGGATCTAGGGGGAAAAAGGGGAAAGAAGGAAAGTGCAGATGAGCATGCAACAATAAACCAGATTTACACGGCGGTAGTCCGCACAAAACTGGGTATCAAGGGCACACTTGACTAGTCAGGCTTACAAATCCCAGGTTTTCGCAAAAATTTTATGATGCAAAAAATAAGCGAAGAGCAAGTAATACAAAATTGTTGTATTGATTGGACAAGAAGATACAAAGGCAAGAGAGAAGGGGGAGGTTCTCACTCTAGACTCTCTTCACGCTTACCGG